GTGCCTCCGTCTTTAATGATGATCTTTTTGGCCAGCATGATACTGCGGTTCGCGGCCCGTTTCTTTTTCTTCCCCTGGGTCATTTTACCATCCTCAACTCCTGGCCTGCAGCAGCCACTCAGGGGGCGGCCCCAGCGGTGAGTGAGGTCCAGCCACTACTGTCGGGCGGAGCTGCTCCGGGTGCACGCTGCCATCTTGAGGGCCCGGCCTGCCTCCGGCGGCGCGTCACATCGTGCGATGGGCTGAGTCGGCCGCCCCGCCCCGCCCCCGTGACGCGGCCACGCCCCCGCAGTGCGGGCCACGCCCCTCCGAGCGGCACCTGCGGAGAAGGCAGGGCGGCGCCCCGGGGCCGGGTGGAGTCGGGTCCCTTGCACTAACTAGCTAGCTGGTCCCTTCTTTCTAAGGCGCTGAGCAGTGGGTATGCTAACTGTTTCTCCTCCGCAGATGAAGGAGCTCAAGTTTCAAAAAGTTAGTACCTGCTCATATCTGACAGAGAGTTTCTCAGAAGCTCTAACCAGGCGTCCCAAACTATCAGCATCCACGTCAACTGCGTCCCCATCAAAACAGAACTAAAGGGAACCGAACAGTTTTATGGTTGGTAGCAGGTAGAGGGCTTTTTTGTTTGTTTGTTTTGTTTTTGTTATTTTTTTAATTGTTTATCTGATGCTCAGCTAGGTCATGCTGGCTTACACATGCCCCTAGTCCCAGGACATTTTACCAGCCCCGGACCCCAGCCCTGCCAATCCAGATATATCACACTTCGGAGGCTTTTATTTAAAGAAACCAGATTGACTAGAGGACTATTAGATAGAGCATGAGCACAAGTGGAATATGAAATATCAAGTATTACCACAGTGCTAACTTTTTTTTTTTCTTTTTGAGACAGGGACTCATTATGTAGACCAGGCTGGCCTCAAACTCAGATCTCCTGCTGCCTGCCTCCTATGCTGTGGTCAAAGGCATGTGCCACCATGCCCGGCAAAATTCTGATTTTAGCAATTGTTTTGTAAACCTTCTAAAGTGTACCTTCAGTGTTAGGGGGTGTAAGGGCAAGAGGCATGCTGTCTACCCTCCAACTGCTCGATGACGGGAAGCTGGGGACAAAGCAAGGTGCAAGCAGTGAACCTGGATGTGGCAAGGTCTAGTCACAAACTCACTGTTCCTCTCTGGAACAAGCAAGCGCACTAGGCTCCCTCTCCTGGCTTGTGGCCTGGTTAATGATGCCCCTCTGTTTTCACAGGGCCGAGCAGAAGTGAAAGTGACTTCAGAGGCTAGGTCATAAAAGGCACTGCATGGCTTTGCTAAGATTTTCATTCACCCCAAGTCAGGGGATGTCACCTGCTATGCCCTGGTACTAGAGGAACTACGGAGAGGTCCTGGTGAGGAGCTGAAACCTCCGATAAAGCTTTGTGGGTCATCTTGGAAGTAGATCGCTAGGCCTGGTCAAGCCTTGAGCCGACTGTAGACAACCTGACTACAACTTTATGAGACCTTCAGCTAGGACCACCCAGCTTAACCACAGTACCGGGCCAGGGAGGTAGTTCTTTTGGAGTGCCTGTCCTGTAAGCACAGGGCCGGATTCCACCCCCAACAATGAATAAACCCAGCATGAAGTGCATGCCTGAACCCTGGTACTCAGGAGGTGGGAGCAGCAGCATGAGAGACTCAAGGACAAATCTGAGACCAGCCTGGAATCCATGAAACCCTGTCTTAAAAAACGGGTGAGGGGTCGATGTTTCAGGCCACCAAATTTTGGGGCTATTTGTTACATGGCTGCAAATAACTAATGGATAAGGAAAAGAAGAAAGGACAAGGTACAAGTGAATGTGTACGTTACTGTAGCTTTTCTGTAAATTTCAAAATAAAAAGTTAAGAATAAACTTGATTGGATATTCTGTTCCTTCTACTTCTCTGACAAGAAACCAAACTAATCTTCATTGGTGGAAGAAGAAAATATCTTGACCTGATGAGTAAGAATCCTTGCTGGGCGGTGGTGGCACACGCCTTTAATCCCAGCACTGGGAGGCAGAGCCAGGTGGATCTCTGTGAGTTCAAGGCCAGCCTGGTCTACAGAGCGAGATCCAGGACAGGCACCAAGACACCACAGAGAAACTCTGTCTTGAAAAACAAAAATAATAAATAAATAGTAAATAAATAAACAAATAAATAAAAAATAAAATAAAATTCTCACATAGAAACTGTCGAAATCCAATTTGAAGCTATTGAGAGTAGGACAAGCCTTCCTAACTAAATTCCAGGAACTTACTTTGGATGGGTGTAAGGGGCTGAGAAGATTATTATTGTTGTAAGCTAGGTGTGGTGGTGCACACCTGGGATCCTAGTATTTGTGATGTAGAGACAGACTGATTCCAAGTTCAAGGCTGACCAATATAGCAAGTTAAGGCTAGCTGTGGGCTGCATGAGAGCGCGTCTGAAAAAAAAAATATTATTGCATGGTTACTTCAACTTTCATAACCTCTAAAAATCAAACTTCAGCTATAGCAGAGCTACTGGTCAGTTACTCAAAGCTGAGTATCTATAGTAATGCTCATTGGCTTTTTTTAGACTGGGGATGAAAAAGTGTGTCTATAGGTTCCCATCGCATAAAATAACACAATTAGGGGGTTGGTGCACACCTTTAATACCAGAGCAGGAGGATTTCTGCTGAGTTCAAGGCCAGGTCTACAGAGTGAGCTCCAGGACAGCTTGGGCTGTTACACAGAGAAACCCTGTCACAGAAAAAAGAAATACCACAACTAAAAAGATCTGACAGGATAGAACTGGGGCTGGGGGAAAGGGTGTAAAAGTGCTCACTGAATTCGGGCGCACACACAATTAGGTCAACGTGAACAAATCAAGCAGCAGTTTAGACAACAACAACAGGAGCCCTGGAGGCCGATTATTCCCCACAGAAGGAGCTTGGGAATGGAGACATGAGAGCGAAGCAGACTTCTCTATCAACTATGATTTTTCCCTCATATATGTTTAACCTTTGAATCAAGTAAAATGGTTTATATATTCAATAATAAAAGCTTAAACTTACAAAACTGAATACAAATAAAAACTAGTGAACCTATTTATGTTACACTAATGACCAGCAGAGAAGACCTGAATTCCATGAACTCCCCTTGCGTCCCTCGAGACAGGGTCTCACTGTAGGTCTGGCTGGCCGGGACGCATTATGTAGTTCCAGTCAATCCCCCCAGAACTCACAAAGATCCTCCTGCCTCTACCTGAGTCCTGGAATTAAAAGTGTGTGCTACCACTTACTTTTACATTTACTTTTAAATGCAAACTTTGAATATACATCTTTAGTTGACAGGCTACATTCTAATAATAAAACTGCAAATAAATTTTGAATTTTGCAGAGCACGCTTGTCATTAGAATATGGGTACTGCAGTATTTAAACTCACAATAAGACACAAGGATGTTGATATTAGAAGCCAAATTATTTCACTGTAAGAGGACAGTCAGATACAACTAAAAACATGATATTAAATTTTAATGCCTGTAATCCCAGCATTCAGGAGGCTGAGGCAGGCGGAACATACGCTTAAGGCCTACCTTGGCTGCTTGGAGAGCTCCAGGCTAGCCTAGGCTACAATGTGTCTTTTCTAAAAATGAAAACAAAGAAACCCACTGCACAATTCAGTTGGAAATACTGATTGGAATGCATAGTCTTAAAAAGATGAATTGTAACTGAGCGTGGTGGCTTATGACTGTAGAACTCAGAAACAGAGGCAGGTGGATCTCCGTGAGTTCTAGGCCAACCTGGTCTACATAGTGAGCTCCAGTATAGCTCCAGTATAGCCAGGACTACATAGAAAGAGCCCGTGTTTAGAAGAATAAAAAAGTAAACTATCCATACCTAAGACATTCACTTAGAGAGCTAACTTAGCCTAGGACCTGGCTTCAAGCTAAGGAGAAAGTAAAGGGACAGTCAAAGGACATCCACACAGTACCGGGGGCTTCGAAAGGCCTGCACTTTAATCCCAGCACTTGGGACGCAGAAGCAGGGAGATCTCTGTGAGTTCGAGGCCAGCTTGGTCTCCAAAGCAAGTTCTAGGAAAGGCTCCAAAGCTACACAGAGAAATCCTGTCTCGAAAAACCAAAAAAAAAAAAAATTATTTTAAATGTTCTGCCAGGTGTGATAGAGAAAGCCCAGGAGGCCATGGCAGCAGGAAACGTTTAAAGTCAGCCTTTGCTACTACATAACTATAAGACAACCCGAGCTAGACATGAGATACTGTCTCAATACTAAAGGAGTTCTTTAACAATACTATCTTTGTGAGTTGACAGATACAGCCCATGAAACTGTCACATCTACACTAGCACAGTCCATCACAACAGGACTAAAGCTACTGGAGTGACAGATGTCACATCTAACCAAAATATTTCATACAGTCAACATACCGACAAGGAGAATGGAGACCAATAGCATAAACAAATGGGAAATGAAACTCTGAAAGATACAAATCAAAACAAAGCAGAAAGGAAAGGAGGGAGGAGGAGAAAGAAGAGAAAGAAGCAGGGAAGGGGATGAGGCGGGTCCACTGTGAGATGCAGGCTGACCTTCAGACTCGCTTGGAGCCCACAGAGCCCAAGGAAGTCTACTGCCTCAGCCTCCCGAGTGCTTGGACTACAGGGCTGCACCAACACATCCAGCTTGGGATGTGCTTCCAGCAAAAGAGGCATTCCTTTTTCAAGACTGTTTTTTGGACAAAGTCTCAGTACATAGCCATGGCTGTGCTATAACTCCTTATGTGGACCAGCATGTATCAAACCCAAGAGAACTGCCTGCTTCTGCATGCCACCATGCCTGGCAAACTTTTCATTTCTTCCTTTATTTTTTTCTTTACTTATTCATTTGAGACAGACCTCACTATGTAGACCAGGCTGGCCTCAAACTCAGATTCATCTGATTCTGCCTCCTCCCAAGTCCTGGGAATAAAGGCATGTGTCACCATGCCTGGCTTTCAGGATTTTAAAGTGTGTGTGTGTGTGTGTGTGTGTGTGTGTGTGTGTGTGTGTGTGTGTGTGTGTGCGTGCATGTGGGTATATATAGACACACGAGTACAAGAGCTGGTGGAGAACAGAAGTCACAGATCCCCTAGAGCTGGAGTTACAGATGGCCAAGGCCCTCCTAATGTGAGTGCTGGGAACGAAATGTAGGTCCTCTGGGACAGCAGTAAGTGCTCTTAACCATTGAGCTATTTCTCCAGTCTCAAAAGAAACACTCTAACACAGAAAATAACACTGGAGTTTCAGTTAGTGCTCTTCATGAAAACTTAGCAAAAATACCTTTGTTTGTAAACTACTGAGATGTTCCCCTTTCTGGGCTCTTCGAGTATTCCATGTGTGGCTACATCAGGGTAGAAGTGAAGATAAATGTGGGTGCATGTCACAAGAGAAGCAATTACACTCAGGCAGGGAAGGAAAGGTCCTGAGTAACTACTGAACCTGGCCAGCAGCAAAGAAGCATTTTATTCCAAACAGAATCCTTTTGGGCTGTGATCACTATATAGGCAGAGAAATTCTAACCACTCTGGCTAAAAAAAAGAAAAGGGAGCAAAATTACATGTGATACAAAGTTACCGAGAGATAAAAATGAGCAATTCATTCCTGAAATATAAAAATAGGAAACTAATCCTCAGATTAAATCAGACACAGGTAAAAAGGGAAAGCAGAAATATAGGAAAAAATATATATAGTTATTTATGAAAATAATCTATTTCCCTTATCTATTAAATATAGGTAATAATGGATACCAAAAAAACTGACATGAGAAATTTATCATATAAAAAATCACTTAATAAAAGACCAGTTTATACATTCCTTTGAATTATATTCATACAAATTTAAACATACAAATCACATTCCCAAACCCCAAAGAATCACTTTATGTAAATTGAAGTACAGACATAGATCAATTTAGGGTCAAAATCATTTTTAAAATATTGTTTTAAATCACAACAAATTATGTCTTACAAGAAAGGAAACAACAAACAGACATTTATATACAGTTGTTAAAGTCTCCAACCTGAATCATGGTGCAGGTGTCACAAGTTACTTAAACAAGTGCTAGTTGTCGATACTTTGATAGGATACTTAGTATCAGTTTGCTAGATGATGGATTTAAAGAGCAAATGTCAAAACAACCAAAAGCTAGAATTGTAGTTACTCAGTTATTCTTTAAAAAAAAAAATTCCCAATTTCAAGTATGTGTTTAAAGTTGTAAATTACAGAAATATTCTCCACAAAAGTCAGGTATTTATTTGGTAAAGCAAGGCACATAGGACCAGATTGTGGTAAAGGTGCATATTCTTTGGCCCTATAACTACTTTAAATATCTTGGAGATTCAATATAACATAAATACTTTTTCTAAATTCCATGAAAGATGCATCTATACAAATCAAATCTTCCTACAATGAAGGTTTAAACAGAATGAATGCTGCCAGACCTTTCTTTACAAACAAAACTCAAATGGGAGTGATGTCACACACCTTCAAGCCCAGGACTGGGAAGGCAGAGGCAGGCAGATCTTGGTCAATTCAAGGCCAGCCTGCTCTGCACAGCAAGTTCCAGGCCAGCCAGGGCCGCCGAGTAAGACCCTGCCTCAAAAAGAAATGAAAACAGAACAAAACACCTCAGTCAAATGATTGTATAATGACATTTAAAGTCTACTAGCTTGATTTGTAAGAATAGTCAGCATTCTACTTAAGTGTTCAGAGCAGAATGTCAATTCCCTCTTGGAATTTCTTAATAGACTCTGGTTTAAATATCAAACTGCCTTTTCTTTACATGAAATTCTGTGGTATTCCATAGAAACTGATGTAAACACTGAATTCTGCATTTTTCAACTATATATTCCAATTATAAAAGCAACTTACAGCTTGGAAACCCCCCGGGAAAGAGCTGCTATGCTGCCCTGAGGCCTGCTGCTGCAGCCAGCTTCCGGGCAACTTTAGTGCAGTGAATTCACACATTCCATATCAGTGAAAAGAGAAACAACAAGTACACTCTAAAAGCACAAAATTTAAATAATCCAAAAGTTACTAGGAAAGCATGACACAGCCACAATGTGAACATTATCAAAACAAACCATGTAACACAAAGTTTCAGTATCAATATATACTGAATCAATATACGACACAAGCCCATTTTCCCCCAAATGTGATTATTTCCTTATAAATTTTTAAACTATACATTCAGCCCAATAACATTTTGAACTGACTAGAAAATAAAAATATAAATGACACCTAATATAAATTTCTGTAGGGTTAAGACAGAGATAGACTAGATTTAAGTAACCATTGATTGTGAATTCACACTGTAGTAGCACAGTTACACACAAAATGCTTCAATGTGAGCTGAACATGAATCTGTATTCATAAATTTTGAACATTTGCAAGATCCAGGTTGCACTTAGTCATAGGTCCTAGGACATAGCTTGAATGCTGTGGTGGCCATACACTTTGCTCAAAATGGAGTTATTCAATCTCTATAAGTTATTCAATCACTGAAAAACCACAAACCTGGCATTCAGAAAACCTGGCATCGCTTTGTCAATGACTTTAAACACTCTTTAATTTTCAGTACTTTGAAACTCTGAAGGGAACTGGTTAGGCGTGTACACTGTTAAGAGTACATGTGCATTAACAAGATCAAACAGCCAGTCCAAGTTAGCCAAGGGTACCTTACAGTTCTTAATAACAGTACTTTTGAGTACTATTTAACAAAACTCCATTAACGAAATCTATTAGAACTACATAAAAAATAGTCATCTTCTTATAGGTTTGTATCTATTAGAACAAACTTTTAAAATATATACAAGATAAATGAAAAAATAAAGTAAAATACATCTTATATTCAATAGGTAATTCTGCATATAGTCAATAATTAAATAAATTATATTCCAAATATAGAATGTATTTTTGCCTCTCACTTCATTTTACTATTTCTAATATATTCTCTCTTTTGAATCAGCTTATTAAATAACTCATAGCTGATATCCTCAACTCCAGTGTTAAAAAGAGACAAAATTTAATATTTTAAAGCAAATGGTTGCTCCTTCCCAGCAGCACTCATGAGGACATAGAAAGGGAAATCAGAATGCCACCACCTCTTCCAGACACATGATCAGAGTATTCCTAAGGATAATGGGCTTTTAAGACCTAAAAACTTCTAAACAGCCTTTGAATCCATACCCTTAATCCCAGCACTCAGGAGGCAGAGTCTGGTAGATCTCTGTGAGCTGGAGGCCAGCCTGGTCTACATAAGTCCTGCCTTTAAAAAAAAAAAGCAATAATATGACAGTAGGGAATGTCTGTAAGAAAGTCAGCTTGTTCTTGGTCCACTGATATGACTAATACAATTTTTTCAATTGTTGCTTCTGTCAACAGTTGCAGAAATTCCTACTGCAGAATAAAAGGAAAATTCTCCATTTCAAAACTATATCCAGTATATGCTTCATAGTTCAGATGTCTCCACATGGAGACTGGACAGTAATCACTCTTTTATTTTCAATTATTAAATGAGTACTTAATCCCTTTAAATCATTAAAAAAGTTTTAATGGCAACACACACAAATTCAATTTAAGGTAATAATAATAATTTCTCTTCTTTATGGAAAATAAATACAGCTGAAAAATGATGGTAAAACGTCCTCATTGTCAAAGTCCCCGGCTCCTCTAGCATGTGACGAAGCAAACTGCGTTCAGCTGACTCAAAGCAGTAAATTGTCTAAAGATATACAGAGAAATGGAGTCTCTCTACACTAAAGTTAAATATGAATCAAACTCAGACTATTACTTCATCAAGTTTTATGTAATTGAACAAGTAACATTTAGCAATCCTTTACTTAGCAATCTTCTGTATGAATATAAAAATCCCAGATACATGAAAATGGTTTTAAACTATATTTGCTTGTTCACAGCTTTATAGGCAATTATAATTTTCCAACTTTGAATAGTTCATGTAATTTGATATATCTGTGCAGAAAGAGTAAGACTGAGAACATGTGATAAGAGGAAGTAGATCTACCTTGCAAACATTGGTATTTGCATTTGTGTGCTCTTGCAAAGGCTGCACTGGACAGTTCTGCAGCAACCAAAAGGGTGAAGTCATTATGAGCTCAGACTTCAGGCCTCCTCCCCATTTCCCTCTAATGCTACTCCCTGGACACACTTCCAAGTTTGGGTTTCCAGATGATATACATTTCATCCTGATGTGTACACATTTTCAAACCATTTGAACAGTATGAGCAGATTTAGCAGGATGATATCTTCAGAGAATCCGCAGAAGTCCTCTGTGCAAGATTAATTCTGTTGAGCTTCCTAGGGCACCATCGTGAAAAAACCAGTTAAAGATAGCACTATGCTTTCGTGGGATTTCCTGCAGGTTTGGGATCATAACCGTACAAGAAAGTAGCTGCTATTACAAGGATGGCTCCAAGGAAAAAGACACTAAATAGGATGGAGAAAAAGAAAAAGAAAAGTCAGATTAAAAGCAAATTAAGTTCTTTCTATATATGTAATATAAAAACAATTGCAATCTGGGAAAGAACATTCCCATAACAGTAATAAACGCTGAGTACGTTCTAAGCTTCAGGCGCTTGGCTAAGTACTTGATGCCTTTGGGGAAAGGGGTGTAGGCAGGAGGCAGGATGCAGGGAGACACAGGTTGAGCTGGCACCCTCACCTACCGCACGTCTTCAGTGCTCTACCTCACCTAAACGTGCACACTCTGTGGGATTCGTTCAGTAGTAAAATGCCTGAAGCTTCCAAACATGCAAAACGGAGAAGGAAAAGTTCATTCTTTTATGCTAAACTTAGGTAAATTCAGTCCAAAATCCAAAGCAATAATAACCAACGCTCAGGACCAATATTTACAGGATGTTTCACGGAAGGGAATCAGACCACAAGTTTTCCTCTTGCTTCGATGTATGGAGAGGTACAATCTACTTCATAAAAACTGGACATAAGCCAGACTAGCCATCTTAACTTGTTATATACACACTTTTTAAATGCTGCCAAAGGCATGAATTAGTTTTGGCTTTAAGATTTCTATTAATGGTTCAAAGTCATTACCCTCAACCTAAAAAATAAAAATCGAAAAGGACAGGAATCACCCGTCTTTTCCCTGCCTATAAAAATGGAGGCTTGGCTTTGCTTTACCTGTTACAGGACTTCACTGTGTAGGTAAGATGGCCTCAAAGCTCCTATTGGATTTCATGTTAAAGACATGCCAGTGCGGTCCATCCAACATCATCCTCCACACTTCCCTTCCATCCATCCCTTTTTGTTTGCTTGTTTGGCTTTTTGAGACAAGGTCTGTGTAGCCCTGGCTATTCTGGAACTTGCTCTGTAGACCAGGCTGACTTCGAACTCACAGAGATCAGCCTGCCTCTGACTCCCAAGTGCTGGGATTAAAGGCCTGCATCACCACCGCCTGGCCCCATCCATTATATAAATGTGGGCCCTTGACTCCATGTACTTTTCCATGACATTGTCATGGTAGACACTAGTCCTCAGCCACAATTTTCTTTCTATCAACAAGTGTTTATTGACAATGTTTTGGGTCTACTGTCCAAGATTCACTCCGCTAGAGTGAGCTATTCTAATGCTTATCACACTGTGATTAATTAATACATTATTTGTATATTTGTTACTCTGCTCAGTTATGTACTCTTCATTGATTACAAACAGAAAAGCTATCATACTATGATTATTTCAATGATTTGAGCGCCTCTTTAATAAGGACTGCATATACTTCCATTGACCCTGTTATAACTTATCTTGTGTCTGGTTTTCTAGTCACTGTGACTTTCTTAAACATAACTGTTTTATTCATATGCTTCTTTTTTCCAGAATCCAACAGAGTGATTGCAGGCACAGGGTGGCCATTTAATAAACTTTTGGAAAATGAATAAGCAAATCTACACATAATCATAGTAATACGAACAACAAAATAAGACATACAGGAAAAAGCAAGAATGGGAAAAAATAAATAAAAAGAAATATTTACCTGGTTGGCACGAAATCTTGCAACCAAAAATAGGATATAACTGTTGACAATATTATGGATAAGGAGGTCGCAAATCCTTTTAAAATATTATCTGCATACTTAATGACAGCAGCTATTACAAGGCCTCCAAGTGCCTGTAAAAGTTTTAAGACAGCAATTTTTAAATGAACATGAAACGGCTTTTCAAAACAATTTCACCTCTCAGGGAAGCTTTAAGGTTTGTTCTATGTAATTATATCCTAGCAAATGATTCATTTGAACATAAAAACAACAGACTTCCAGTTTTGTTTCCTAGCCCTCAACATAATCATCAAAGCAATCTAAAGTTTGCTGTAACCAAATCTGATCAGATTACAAAAAAGTCTATTTTCACCAAATTCAATAATTAAACACTTGTTGTTTGGACAGCTGAAGGACAAATGCATACAAGGTTTAACTCTGAATAAAAAAAAAAAAAAAAAAAAAAAAACCTTTTTTTACAACCTTTCCAACAGTCTTCTCACTTTGTCTTCTTTAATTTTCTCTCCATTCTATTTTTGTTTTGTTTTGTTTTTCGAGACAGGGTTTCTCTGTAAATCAGTCCTGGCTGTCCTGGATCTCACTCTGTAGCCCAGGTTGGCCTCGAACTCACAGAGATCCGCCTGCCTCTCTCTCCCGAGTGCTAGGATTAAAGGCGTGCGCCACCACCGCCCATCTTCTCTCCATTCTAATCTACCTCTTATGGTTGTCAGGGTGTTCGGTTTGGTTTAGTTTTTTGCAGTACTGGAGATTGAACCCCAAACCTATCACATGGTAGGTAAGTTCTCAATCACTGAGCTATCCCCACAGCTTATAAAGAACCTTCTACCAAATCATTCTCAAATTCTAGACTGTGGTTACCTACAAACGGGAGATGGGGAAAGCTGGAGAGGTGCCTGAGTTGTTAAGGGTGCTTGCTGCTCTTGTAGAAGACTTAAGTTTAGTTCCCAGCACCCATGTCAGGCAACGCACAACCACCTGTAACTCCAGTTCCAGGGGTTCTGATGCCTCTTCTGACCTCCGCAGGCATTGCATGTACACGGTACACACACATACACATAAAATTAAATAACTTAAAAAAACAAAACCAAAAACAAAATGTAAGAGTGATGGGTAGCTCAGTAACAAAGTACTTGCCTAGTAGGTATGAGGGCCCTGGGCTCAACCCAAGCAACTCACCGGACTTTACTATACAAAAATCCAAAATCTTGCAAAAATCCAAAATGCTCCCAAACCCAACACTTCTTTGAGCACTGACATGAAGCACAGATGGAAAAGTCCACCTGCTTCATTTGATGAGTTAGTCACACAAGGCAGGTGCATTCTAAACTGCGCTAATTTTACTTCCAGGCTATGTGAATGTACATACATAAAACAAAAGTTTGTTTAGACTCGAGTCACAGTCACCAGATATCTCATTATGTGTATGCAAAAGTCCCAAATCTCCCACTCTTAATGAAAATCCAAAACAGTTCTCAAACAGATAATGGACACTCAATCTGTCTGGCCTGGGTTTGTCTCCTACCAGACTCTCCATATCTGTCCAAATCAGGCACTCTAACTGCCTTTCTTGAATGATGGAAGTCCAATTCATAAAAAGTCAGGAGTTATGCCCACTGGGCTTACTATAAATTATGTTTGAACTGATATTTTGGGGAAATACTGTTATTCATCTATTTATTCCCTGTTAGATCCTTCATATCAGTTACATCACCTTTTTTTAACTGTTGCGCTTGGATAGGCTCCAACGGTCAGAAAGGCAGAGGCAAACAGATCTCTGTGACTGAGGCTAGCCTTGTCTGCATAGTTAGTTCCAGCCAGAGCTATGTAGAGAGACCTTGTCTCAAAACACAAAGCTAAATATATTTAAAAAAATTTTTTTTCTCTTATCTTTTGGCCCTTTCTTGAAGGACAGCTTCCTCATAACTGGATAAAATATATTACATATAAATATATAAGTTCTCTATGTTTACTATACCTCCACTTTAAATTTTCTCTAAATTTTTCCTCTGTGTCCTTTCCTCCTTTTATAAAAATGGAAATACCCTTCCTACTTTTTTATTTATTTATTTATTTTGGAGACCGGGTTTCTCTGTGTAGCGCTGGCTGTCCTGGAATTCTAGACCAGGCTGGCCTCGAACTCAGAGATCCGCCTGCCTCTGCCTTCTCAAGTGCTAGGATTATCGATGGGCACCCCTGCCCCCGCCCTACTTCCTACTTTTGAAGAGCCACTATCTTTGGACACTTCCCTACCTTCCAGGTCCTATGACTTCAAATGCCTCTAGGAAAGTAGGCACTGAGGTATGAGGGCCCTGGGCTCGTACCTCATTTTCACATGTTCAGAATGTCAAGATGTACTTCTGGAGATGAAATTATTCAACTCTTAAACAATTCAAGCCATATTCACACCGAAGAAATTTGACAGAAACGGTCTAACATGTAAATATGAAATGAAACTTATAAACTTGCATAATTATCTCAAGCGGCTCCTTCCATCTTTAAAGGGCTGACCACAGCTTTTCTATGCAATGACAATTGCAGCAGAAAATTTGAAAGTTGTATTTACTCTTAGTTTTGACTTTTTTTTTTTTTTTTTTTGAGACAGGTTTTCTATGTAAACCTGGCCTTCCTTGAGTTTGCCATGTAGACCAGGCTGACCTTGAACTCAAGAGATTCGCCTGCCTCTGCCATCTGAGTGCTGTGATGAAAAGGCACCACTATTTAATTCTTAAACTTAACATTTTCATGGAGCTTGAAAGATGATTCAGTGACTAAGAGCACTGGCTGCTCTTCCAGAGGACCTGGGTTTGGTTACCAACACGCACTCACTTTTGGGGCACACACCATCTGTAACTCCAGTTCCAGGGGATCTGACCCTTCTTCTAACTAACATGGGCACCACGCACATAACTGGTTAACATACATACATGCAGACAAAACACTGATTCACATAACAGTAAATAAACCTAAAAGTAACATCAACAACAATAATAAAACACATTTTCATGGCACTGAACTTAAATACAATGGAGTTTTTATTCATGACCCTTTTCCAAAATCAGTTTTCATTAGGGCATTAAGAACAGTTGTATTTTAACTTCCCTGAATAAAGTAAATATGATGAGAACAGGAAGGACCCTGCCCCTTAAACACCAGCACACCAGTACCCAGTACTTTAATTCTCTGTACAGAAGCAATACTCAGTAGCATTAATAGACGACTTAAATGCTTTACCTGCAGAATAACGACTATCCATGTCAGTTGACTATATCCCTGAAAAAATCCATTCTTTGATACCAATTCTCCATCATAAATGTATACACCCATTAATCCAAATATACTCCCAAAGAAACCTAAGAGAAAGTAAAACATAGGTCAGAGGGCAGTTTTTCTGGAGAAATATTTTTCTGTTGACAATCCTGTCTCCTCCCCCTGCTCCAATTGGCAGGGTCCTGGTTTACACCGGAGACTAACTCAGCATGTAGCACAAGCTGGGTTGGAACTCTTGGTCCTCTTGCCTCAGACTCCCAAGTACTGGGGCTACAGGCCTACACCACCCTGCACAACTTAAATTTCTTTTTACAAAATCTTCATACTTAAAAAATATTTCACTCAGCCGGGTGGTGGTAGCACATGCCTTTAATCCCAAAACTCAGGAGGCAGAGGCAGGCAGATGTTTGTGACTTCAAGGCCAGCCTGGTTTACAGAGCTAGTTCCAGAACAGCCAGGGCCACACAGAAAACCCTGTCTCAGAAAACCAAAAGAAAAAACAAATTCACTTGATTTATATATAAGCAACAAAAGTATGCATATTACTATATGATGCCTACAAAACAAATATATAAGACTATTTTAAAAAGTAATTTAACAACCTTCAAACAGTACAATAATATTTATATTACAGGATTAGACTGCTAATTTATTCAAGTATTTATAAAATTCCTGCCTTTAGCATTCCATTGTACCTTGAATTTTCCTATTGCTATGACCACATCTTATGAGTTACATTCATAATTACATATATGAAAGCTCATATATAAGACTCAGAATTTCTTTTGTATCACAAGTTTCAATGAATGCAGGCAATGAAAACTAGTTATGAAAGAGGACATAAAGCTAAATATTTTTCTACTTCTAACTTAGTCATGGATTTTTGTTTGTTTGTTTTGTTTTGTTTTGGTAGTGGATACATACATAAAAATATACTTGAGGGGCTGGAGAGATGGCTCAGTGTTTGAGAGCACTATCTGCTCTTTCAGAAGACCTGGATCTAATTCCCAGCACCCACAGGGCAGTTCACAACTGTCTGTAACTCCAGTTCCAGGGCTTCTGACATCCTCAGAGAGATATACATGTAGGCAAAACACCAGTGAACACAAAATAAAAGTAAATTATATAGATTAAGAAATACATATATTTGATAGTAAAAGTGTAAAATCCAATGCAAAGCACCACAGCTTCTGTTCCAAATGCCTACTCTACTCCAACTGTACATAAGTTCACTGAGTTGTATAGACTTTGGCCTGATTACTTTCCATGTGTGATGTTATTTGGAACTATTTTTCAAATAATAAACTTCTTTAAAAGATATTTTTAAAGTACAATACTTGTTAACTAAAACTTCCAGCTAAAAACTGGTCAAACCCAGCATCAGATTCTGTATTTACTAATGAAGTCTCACTGATAAAGAAAATTGGCTTGGTGAAATTCACTGCTAAATTTCATTCCAGACACTGAGCTAAGATTTCCTGGAGCACTGTTGGCCTATAGGAACCTACAAGGACCACATATCTTATGGTACAGCTTTAGAAGAGGGTACAGAGGATAGTTTTTAAACAAAACCACAGCTAGGTAGAGTGTGAAGAACATGAAAAGTGCATTCGTACAAGCTCTAACCTTTTTTTTTTTTTTTTTTTTTTTTTTTTGGTTTTTCGAGACAGGGTTTCTCTGCGTAGCTTTGCGCCTTTCCTGGAGCTCACTTGGTAGCCCAGGCTGGCCTTGAACTCACAGAGATCCGCCTGGCTCTGCCTCCCGAGTGCTGGGATTAAAGGCGTGCGCCACCACCGCCTGGCAAGCTCTAACCTTTTAATGTGTCTCACTGTGAGTATGAAATTAACCATGGCATGTGACTTTAAAAATATGCCCGAAGGCATATATTTTAAAATTTAATTTACAAAATTAACATCTGGCAATTACTAAAACATATATTTAGTACTTGCTGGAGCTCAAATGCCTTCTAAAACCCCCAAGTGTTAAAGAACGGTTCTCTCTCTTCCGCACTATTAAGTGTGAGGTCTTAGGTCATGGAGCAAGCCCATGGTCAGGTTGTGGGTCCCTAGTCTCATCCCCTCTCTCTATTGTTGTTTCTTGGACAATTATGAAATATATCGTTTCCTCTGCTTTGCACATCCTGATACACTGTCCTGCCTTGCCACAGACCCTAAGTCAATGGACCATCAGCTAGAAGCCCCAAATTTTAAGACAAAGCAAACTTGATCTCTTTATACACTGACCTCTCTTGGATGTTGGTTAGTGACAGAAAGCTATCTGACACACACAAGGACAGGTATTATGTCCGTATATATAAACAGACCTACTATATTCTAACAGGGTCGGACAGTCCACTGTCTAAAGGCTATTATCACATATGTATGTGACACTTGCCGTTCCAAATGCTTTATGGACACGAACATACCGCAAGCCTCTCAAGTGGATACCTGCAAGCTCATTTTTATTGATTAGAGAACTTCCCCAAGTTCACATACGGAATAGACTCAATAGTTGAATTCAGGAAGTGTGGCTCTGGATCTTCTTTTATTTCACATTTTCTATCTTCTGAAGTACAACCTTAATTATACTATCTAATCAAAACAATAATTCATTCAATCAATCTTATTTTCTGTGTTTGTTTGGTTTTTACATCTGTAACCAATGCTAAAAGTAATAGCAGTGGCATCTATGTTTTTTTCTATAGGATAAATTCTTACTCAAACAAGGAATTATTGTTTCAAAGCGCGCGCGCGTATGTGTGTGTGTGTATCTTGTAGGCATTACCAAATTGAGATCCAAGAAGGTTCTAGCAATATTTTCTCTTAGGAGGCACAGGTACGAAGATTTTTGTTTTCTTCTCACTGGCTGACACTTGTAGTCTTTCATATTGAAATATTATAGTTTCAAATTTTTATTTTATGATCCTAAATTGTTTATAACTTATAAAGATTCTTTCTAAACTCACTTTAGCTTACCATTTTTCTTTTCTTTCTTTCTTTTTTTTTTTTTTTTTTTTTTTTTGGTTTTTCAAGACAGGGTTTCTCTGTGTAGTTTTGCTCCTTTCCTGGATCTTGCTCTGTAGCCCAGGCTGGCCTCGAACTCAGAGATCCGCCTGCCTCTGCCTCCCGAGTACTGGGATTAAAGGCGTGCACCACCATCGCCTGGCTAGCTCACCATTTATTTTCATGAGTATTGTACTATCATACCAAACCAAAGAATAAGATATCAAAAAACATCCTAGAACTATGATTTCTGACATGTCTTCCACTTTCATCACATAATTCAACAAACTTTTAGGTAACTAACAGAGATCGTGACTATTTCTTCTTTTCTTTTTGCAGATATATATGAATAGCTTACTACATACATATGGTACTTCATTCTAAATACATGAATTCTCCAATTTACTCCTCATAGAAACATATGAGGTAGGTACAAAAACTAAGAACTACATTTTATAGATGAGGAAAGTGAAGCACAAAAAGTTGAGTAACTTTTTGGTGGTCACATGGATGATAATTGATGAACTCAAGATTTGAGCAGTACACCCTGAGAACCAAGGTTTTTAACCACTCTGCTACAGATGCACTCTTTAGGAAACGGCAAATCAAACTGCTTGATATTTTCAAACCTGTGAATGTGTCTTCTGGACAAGAAGAACAATTAAATTTTGCTTTAAAATATTTACATTCAATATTTCTCATATTTACAACAATATTTCAATATGTTCTCATAAGAAAGACAGCTTTCGCCGGGCGGTGGTGGCGCACGCCTTTAATCCCAGCACTCGGGAGGCAGAGCCAGGCGGATCTCTGTGAGTTCGAGGCCAGCCTGG